ACACCATGGCGCTCCAGCCTGGATGACAGAGTGAGTCTCCATCTCAAACAAACAAACAAACAAACAAAACAAGTGAGGGGCTCTGCACCCAGCCCAGGACGGCAGGATGGCTGACCTTTCCAGTCTGCATTGCACAAAGATGGGAGAGGAACAGAACACAGGGGCCTGGCTGGCAGCTTAGCTGGGCTGGGAGCCAGACGGTGTCCCCCAGCTCCTTGACAATTTTTTCAATTCTGACCACTAATTCTGATCACCTGCCCTGCGCCTGGCCTGGAGAGGCTGGAGAGGAGGGAGAAGCAAGGACCCTGCATGCCCAGCCCCTTCTTTTCATCCTCCCAGGGTTGAGGGGGCGGGGTGACCTTCTCAGGAGGTGGAAGGGCATTGCTGGACCCATTATCTTATCAGGGAGACGCAAACACTGTACCAAAAGTCACGGTCACAGTGACTTCTGTCACTTGGCAAACACTCCCGAGGCCAGCCCGGGCCAGGCGATGCAGGGCACACAGTGGGGACTGAGACAGCCTGGGTCCTGCCCTCATGGGTCTGGATGGGGAGATGAAATGTCACCAACCCTGACAGCCCAGAGTGGTCAGGGCTGTGATGGAGGAATTATGGGGTCAGAGTCGTCAGGACTGGGATGGGAGAAGCACAGGCAGGCAGGTGGGGGCTGTGATAGGGAGGCTCAGAGGTCTGTGGAAGCCCAGGGAGGTGCCTGACCCAGCCTGGTGGGTAGTCCAAGAAGGCTTCCTGGAGGAAGGATTGTCTGTGCTTAACAGGAAAGACGAGGAGCTGTTGAACATGGGGAAGAGGTAGGGTGCACCCTTCAGGTAGAGGAAATTGCATCTGCTGAGGTTTTGAAATGATCATTTGGAAAAGCAGAAGGCCTGGTGGGCAGGACCCCAAAGCATGAAAGGGAAAAGAGGAACATGGGGAGGAGGAGGGATGGCCAGGGATCTGATCCCATCAAAGTTTACAGGGAGCTGGGTCCCTAACAGTGTGTATGGCCACGGTTCTAGGAGACTATTGTTCAAATTCCCCTTCAAACACACATAATGTTCACCATTTACATTTTTTTTTTTTTTTAGAGGTTTGTTCTGTCGCCCAGACTGGAGTGCAGTGGTACAATCTTGGCTCATTGCAACCTCTGCCTCCTGGGTTTAAGTGATTCCCCTGCCTCAGCCTCCTGAGTAGCTGGGACTACAGGTGCCTGCCAATGCACTTAGCGAAGTTTTGTATTTTTAGTAGAATTTTTTTTTTTGAAACAGAGTCTCACTCTGTCGCCCAGGCAGGAACACAATGGCACAATCTCGGCTCACTGCAAACTCTGCCTCTTGGGTTCAAGCAATTCTCTGCCTCAGCCTCCCGAGAAGATGGGATTACAGGCACCTGCCACCACGCCCAGCTAATTTTTGTATTTTTAGTAGAGACGGGGTCTCGCCATCTTGGCCAGGCTGATCTTGAACTCCTAACCTCATGATCCATCCACCTCGGCCTTTCAAGTGTTGGGATTACAGGCGTGAGCCACTGCACCTGGCTGGAATTTTATATTTTAGTAGTTGGCCAGGCTGGTCTCGAACTCCTGACCTTCAGTGATCTGCCCATCTCGGCCTGCCAGTGCTGGGATTAGAGGCATACGCCACCGCTCCTGGCCCACCATCCATTTAATAGTTTGTCCTTTGCCCCCTCTTTCTCAAGAAAAGAACATTTTTTTCAAGTCTGACCACTAATTGTTCTCAAAGAACTTTCCAATGTTCTGTGTGCCCCAGGCTCAGAGAAAGAGGGGTGGACCTTGCAGTGCTGTGGATTGTGTCTCGCTTGCAACATTCTTGTGAGAAGCTTCTTTGTCCCTGAGTTGTGCTAGGGGTTGTCCATCCACCTGAAATGGCATTGTGTGGTCCACTCAGGCTGCATTCCAGGGTGCCAGAGACTTGGAACACTTCCTAACTTATCCAGATCCTGCCTATGGACAAAGGTCTCTGTGTTCATCTCCCAGAGACAGGGCTTAGTATTGCTTAGACACACGGTGAAATAATAAATTGCACAAGCAAAGACCCTCCCTGCAAACACACAGAACTTGGGTTTAAACTTGTATCTGAAGACTGCAAAATCAGGGGAGTAGGTAAAAGTATTTACCCATGAACCTAGCTGAGCAGGGATGGTCAGAATGGACAAAGCTGGCGGGCACAGTGACTCACGCCCATACAAGGACATGTCCCAGTGCAGGGACATGAACTTGGCTCACTGCAACCTCCACCTCTCGGGTTCAAGAGATTCTCTTGCCTCAGTCTCCCAAGTAGTTGGGGCGACAGGTGCGAGCCAGTGGGTCCAGCTAATTTTTGTTTGTTTGTTCTTTGAGACGGAGTCTCGTTCTGTTGCCCAGGCTGGAGTACGGTGGCACAATCTTGTCACTGCAACCTCTGCCTCCCGGGTTCAAGTGATTCTCCCGCCTTAGCCTCCCGAGTTAACTGGAACAAAAGGTGCGCTCCACTGTGCCTGGCTAATTTTTTATATTATTTTAGTAGAGACGGGGTTTCACCATATTGGCCAGGCTGGTCTCAAATTCCTGACCTCGTGATCTGCCCACCTCAGCCTTCCAGAGTGCTGAGATTACAGGTGTGAACCATGGCACCTGGCCCAGTTCTCCTTCTAATAAATACCAAACAAATAAAAAGAAAAGAGAGCATCAGGTTGGAGTAAGAGGTGTGAATACAGTGGGGAAAGGGAGCAGAAACAGTGGGCTGCAGTATTACAGAGTGGACTCTGAGGAGGCGACATTTGAGTGGAGACCTGAGGGAGGTGAGAAAGCCAATGCAGACATCTCAGGACGGGGCCCAGCAGAAGGAGCTGTAAGTGCCACGGTCCTGAAGCAGGAATGAACTTGGTCTGTGCAAAGTGCAGCAGAGAGGCCAGTGCCCCTGGAAACCCAGTAGCGACTGAGGCAGGGCAGGTGACCAGTGCCAGATCTTGCTGGAAGGAGTGCAGGGTTTATTCTCAGTGGGAAGGGAAGTCTTTGGATGGTTGTAAGTAGAGGGGTGACACAAGCCATTTGACACACACGGCTCAGAGCTGACCTGCGCATAAGGCTGGGTGCGGTAGCTCACACCTATAATCCCCGCACTCTGAGAGGCCGAGGCGGGTGGATCACCTGAGGTCAGTACTTTGAGACCAGCCTGGCCAACATGGTGAAACCCCATCTCTACCAAAAATACAAAAATTAGCTGGGTGTGGTGGCATGCACCTGTAATCCCAGCTACTCGGGAGACTGAGGCAGGAGAATCCCTTGAACCAGGCAGTTGGAGGTTGCAGTGAGCCGAGAGTGCACCACTGCACTCCAGCCTGGCGACAGAGTGAGACTTTGCCTAAAAAAAAAAAAAAAAAAAGAGCTGAGCCACGCGTGGTGAGCAGGTGGACTCACTGCAAGGACAGTGTGACTGTGGCCCCACGCTGCCTTCTCTTTGCGGGTTTCTTCCAGCATGCTGAGGATGCCCAGCTTGTGGGTGCGGGGAGGGGCTACGGCCGCCCGACAGCTTTGTTTCCCAGGTGACCTGCCCCAGCGGAGAAGGACACTGCCAGGCCAGTTATCTTATCAGGCGCACTCTCACCTGCTCCTGGAGACACGCCCACCTCATAACATACCAAGGTCCCCACCATTCCACAGGGCCAGCCCCTTGCTGCTGCCCATGGACGTCCCTACCTGAGGGATGGGGAGGGAGTCCCCAGGCCCCCTGGCATCCGTCACCAAGCACCAAGCTCAGGCCAAGAACCTTGAACACATCCATTCCACACGCTGCACCTTGGTTTCCCCATCTGGGGTAGCGACAGGGGAACGGCTGAGACTGTAAAGGCTCTAGCTGGATGTGTGAGTGCCTCTGGGACCCTCCCATAGTCCCTCTGAGTCTCAGTTTCCCCCTCTGCACCACAGGAATGATAGTGTTGCCTGCACAGGGTTTTTTTTGCAAAGACCCATGAGGTCACACGTGGCGCTGCTGAGGTGAAGTTTGGGTTTTTCCATTGGTGGTGCCATAGAAGAGCCAGGCTCTGGGGTCAAGCCTGAGTTGGAACCCTGTCCCTAGGTTTTAAATGTTGAAGTCTTCTGCAAAGTCCTTGATGGGGGCTAAGAAGAGAACATTGCTTTACAGAGGTGCTGCTAGGAGCTAAGGAAACCATCTGAGTGACACACAGAGCATACGCAGCCCACAGTGAGGATTCAGGATTCAGTCAACGTTCAGCCACCACAGAGAGTGCTGTAAGCATGGCTGGGTGTGGTGGCTTAAGCCTGTGATCCGAGCGCTTTGGGAGGCTGAGGTGGGTGGTTCACCTGAGGTCAGGAGTTCAAGACCAGCCTGGTCAACACGGGGAAACCTCGTCTCTACTAAAAGTACAAAAATTAGCCAGGAGTGGTAATGCATACCTGTAATTCCAGCTACTTGGGAGGCTGAGGCAGGAGAATCACTTGAACCTGGGAGGCAGAGGTTGCAGTGAGCTGAGACTGTGCCACTGCACTCCAGCCTGGGCAACACAGTGAGACTCCATCTCAAAAAAAAAACAACGAAAAAGAGTGTTGAGGCACCCTCCTCTTCCAGTTGATCAGGCCGGTGCTATTTAGACTAAAAGAGGACACTCTGCAGCCGGATGATCTGGTTCTCACTCCATCACGTCCAAACCTGCGACGGAGCCACAGGAGAGTGACTCAACCCCTCCGTGCCTCAGTTTCCCCATCTGTGAGGGGTCTTGTCCCCTCAAAGGGTTGTTGGCAGGTTAAATAAGTTAGCACATGGAAGCCCTTAGCACAATGCCCAGCACATAATGAGCACCTTATGTTTGCTCTTCTCGTTGTTGGAGCTGTCCCAGGGCCTCCCTGATATCAAGCAGGTTGACATGGGGCGATCTGGCCTGGGGGGGGGCTGCAGCCCAGGAGGGAATGCCTCAGGCACCCAGGCCTGGAGGTCACCCTGAGGAGCCCTGTAATCAGCTGTCGTCGGGCAGTTCCGCTCCACCCCCCGCCCTCCTCAGGTATATCAGGGCTGGTCCAGGCCCAGGCTCTGTCGTGTGAGAGTGCAGGCACCGCGCACCATGGGGAAGGCCGTGAGTGGGGCTCAGGGGTCTGGGGTGCGGTGGGGACAGGGGTTCCAGTGGGATTTGTGGCCTCCCTCCCTCTATCCCATCCATCCCCAGGAGAACTATGAGCTCTACTCGGTGGAGCTGGGCCCTGGCCCCGGAGGGGACATGGCTGCCAAGATGAGCAAGAAGAAGAAGGCGGGCGGTGGGGGCGGCAAGAGGAAGGAGAAGCTGGAGAACATGAAGAAGGAGATGGAGATTGTGAGCTCCTGCTGGGGAGGGGCGGCAGCTGGGGGGTGGGCTGGGAACTGAGCAGTGGGTGGGGAGGGGACTAGGAGAGCCCAGAGCAAGCACCCTGCCCCACCCCACCACACAGAACGACCACCAGCTGTCAGTGGCGGAGCTGGAACAGAAATACCAGACCAGTGCCACCAAGGTGAGCAGGAGACTGGGAGCTAGCAGAGAGGAGACGGGGAGAGAGGGAGGGAGAGGGAGACGGAAGAAGGGAGATGGAGAGAGGGGGGAGAGAGGGGGAGAAAGGGAGGGGGAGAGAGAGAGGGAGAATGAGAGAGGGAGAGGGAGAGATGGAGAGAGGGAGGGAGAGGGAGAGAGGGAGAGATGGGGAGGGGAAGATATGGAGAAATGGACAGAGAGAGGGAGAGGAGAGAGGGAGAGAGAGAGGGAAGGAGGGAAGGAGAGAAGGAGGGAGAAGGAGAGAGGGAGGGAGGGAGATAGCATTAGAGAGAAAGGGCTAGACACAGAGATGGAGAGAGGAATAGATGAAAAGAGACAGCAAGACAGAGAAATCAGACAGATACAGAGAGAGCAGCAGGAGAGACACAGAAAGGTGAGTGAGGAGAGAGAGACAAAGGGAGAGATGAAGGAGGGAGGGAGAGATGGCGCAGGGGCAGGGGCAGGAATCAAGAGACAAAGAGAGATGAGAAGGGGCAGGACAGACCGATCTGGGGAAAGGAAACCGAGGCGGGGGCTTCCCACAGGGTGTGCATGTGGAGGAAAGCCCCCAGCACCACCTCGTCCTGCCCCTCTGTCTCAGGGCCTGTCTGCCAGCCTGGCTGCCGAGCTGCTGCTGCGGGATGGGCCCAACGCGCTGCGGCCGCCACGAGGCACCCCAGAGTACATCAAGTTCGCGAGGCAGCTGGCCGGGGGCCTGCAGTGCCTCATGTGGGTGGCCGCCGCCATCTGCCTCATCGCCTTTGCCATCCAGGCCAGCGAGGGGGACCTCACCACCGATGACAACGTGAGTGGTGATGCAGGGACAGCCTCGGGACACGGGGACCTGGGGACGGAGGACACGGAGCATGGGACTCAGGACAAGAGGGGCAGAGGATGGCGATACAGAAACACGAAAGGCAGTCTCAAGACAGGAGTCATGGGGGGTGGAGGACATTGGGATATGGATGGGGCCGACACAAGGACACAGGACGCAGGGACACTGGCGTGAGTCTCGGGTATGGGGACATGGGTGGGGGTATAAAGAGTATGGCAATGTGATACGTAAGAGATGGGACTTGGAGGCTGGGCTCGGTGGCTCATGCCTGTAATCCCAGCACTTTGAGAAACTGAGGCAGATGGATCACTAGGTCAGGAGTTCGAGACCAGCCTGGCCAACATGGTGAAAAGCCATCTGTACTAAAAATGCAAAAATTAACCAGGCATGGTGGCGGGCACCGCTACTCGGGAGGCTGAGGCAGGAGAATCATTTGAACCCAGGAGGTGGAGGTTGCAGTGAGGCAAGACCATGCCACTGCATACTGGCCTGGGCAGCACAGCAAGACTCTGCCTCAAAAAAAAAAAAAAAAAAAAAAAGAGAGAGAGAGAGAGATGAGACTTGGGAAACAGGACACGCAGACACAGGACAGACTGGGGTGTGGGGAACAGGGGACCCTAGGACTCAGACACGGGAAACCAGGGCAGGGACACAAGCCTCCAGACACAGCACATGGAGAGACACAAAACATGAGACATAGAAGCACAGAGACAGAGAGGAAATGGAGACGCAGGGCCATGGACACTGGACACATGGCAGAGGTCAGGGCAAGGGACATGGGGACTCAGGGACACATGACATTGGACAGAGGCTCGAAAAGCCACAGCCACCGGACACAGGATGGGGACTCAGAGATACGCAGACATAGGAGAAACAGAACACAGTGATCGGGGAGCTGGAACATGGGGGCCACGGCTCCAGAGGACAGAGACCATGACGCACAAGGTCTGCGGCACATACAGGGACTGGGATGTGAGGACGCAGGGACGAGGGGACACAGAGGGTGGCCGCAGATTATGGAAAACCCAGGATGTGAAACTAGAGACACAGGGAATACAGGCCACGGGGACAGCAGGAGGTGTGGGACAGTGGACATGGGGAATGCAAGGCTTGGGGACACAGGAGAAGGGAACGTGTCAGACCAAGACACACAGTGACTTGGGGCACAAGTCACAGATATGGGGACTTGGAAGACTGAGGATTCAGGGTGTTGGAAATAGATGCTGGAAATAGATGCTCGGTGCTGCAAAGAAAAATTAGCACTGAGACAAAGGATCTTTCAGCAACGCAGTTTTTACTTCCTGGACTGCAGGAAGGGCACTCACGATCCTTTGTCTCAGTGCTAATTTTTCTTTGCGGCACTGAGCATCTATTTCCAGCATCTATTCCAACAAGGGCCAGAGGATGTGAAATGTACACAGGAACACAAGACACTGAGAAGACAGGGCAGGCGAGTGTGGGGTATGAGGGACATGGAGAGGGGGCCACAGGCCACAGGGAATGGTGCATGGAGTTTCCTAGTAGGTGGGGAAAACCGTGGAGGTGACCCCAAGAACACCAGGGCACCAGGGAGCAGGGGGGGCGGTCTCAGGCAGGCAGCTTCCAGCCTCTCCGACTAACCCCAGCCCTGTCCCTGTCCCCAGCTGTACCTGGCAATTGCTCTCATCGCTGTAGTTGTTGTCACCGGCTGCTTTGGCTACTACCAGGAATTCAAGAGCACCAACATCATCGCCAGCTTCAAGAACCTTGTGCCACAGGTGGGTTCCTCAGCACCCAGCCACTCCAGATCCCAGAGACCCCTAACCTCTCCAGGAGGCTCCTGCAGCCTCCTCCCATCAGGCCCAACCTGCCCCCCATCTGTGGCCTCCATCTCTCCTCATGGGTCCCCAATTCTCCCCACCCTCTACCTCCCCACATGCAGCAACTCCCACCTCCCCCACCCCCCCCCCATCTACCTAAACTCTTGCCCCGCAGCAAGCCACTGTCATCCGAGATGGAGACAAGTTCCAGATCAACGCTGACCAGCTGGTGGTGGGTGACCTGGTGGAGATGAAAGGCGGGGACAGAGTGCCCGCTGACATCCGCATCCTGGCGGCCCAGGGCTGCAAGGTGGACAACTCCTCACTGACGGGGGAGTCTGAGCCGCAGACCCGCTCACCCGAGTGCACACACGAGAGCCCCCTGGAGACGCGCAACATTGCCTTCTTCTCCACCATGTGCCTTGAGGGTCTGTGACGCCCCCGCCTGCCTGCCCAGTAACCACTGCTTCCACTGGCCCCTCTCCTGCTACCTTCTAGAACAGGGAGCTTCTGCTTCGTTGCCTTCCCTCGCATGACTGCCACCTCCCCAGGATACGCTGTCTCTCTGTCTCCCACTGTCGTTACCCTCTCCCCAGGTCACACCCTCTGCTGGTGGTGACTGGCTCTCCTTCAGCTCACAGAGCAGCGCACACCCCACTGCCCTCCTCATCCCTGAGTTACCCTTTGGCCCCCTGCAGGCACAGCGCAGGGCCTGGTGGTGAACACGGGTGACCGCACCATCATTGGGCGCATCGCGTCTCTGGCGTCGGGGGTGGAAAATGAGAAGACACCCATTGCTATCGAGATTGAGCATTTTGTGGACATCATCGCAGGCCTGGCCATACTCTTTGGTGCCACATTTTTTATCGTGGCCATGTGCATTGGCTACACCTTCCTGCGGGCGATGGTCTTCTTCATGGCCATCGTGGTGGCCTACGTGCCTGAGGGGCTGCTGGCCACTGTCACAGTGAGTGGGGGCAGGCAGGGGCGCAGGGAGCTGAGGGGCCTGCCAAGCCATCTGCTCTTTCCTCCATGCTTCCCCATCATGTCCCTGCCTGTCCATCCATCCACTCCACTCCTGTCAACCCTCCCATCTTCCCATCAACCACCCATTGAGCAAGTGCTTCCTGAGGCGACCCTGGGCCATGTCCTGTGCCTCACATCGAGGGCGCAGAGATGCCGAGGCTGGCAGGGTCCTTGACCAGAGGAGGCTGAGGTCCTGTGCGGGCAGCCAGCAGGTCACCCAGCCTTCCACAATCAGCACCCAGCCCCAGACTAGCCATGAAGGAGTCACGGGGAAGGTTCCTTTTCTCATTTTGGTTGTGTGATGAGAATTTTCAGCACCTCGGCTAGGACACAGTATCTGGGCAGACTGGGGAAGGAGTCCCAAACAAAGCACAGGCCGAACAAAAGCTGGGGGCAAGAAAACACCTGCTTTTTGCAGAAGCAAGTTGCACACGCAGCCCCGCAGCTAGGGTAAAGCCTTCCCGGTGCTGTGAGGCTGGGAAGAGGGCTGGAAGCAAGGGTGGTCCCCAATCTATGGTGCTCACCCCTTCCCCAGGTCTGCCTCTCCCTGACAGCCAAGCGCCTGGCCAGTAAGAACTGCGTGGTCAAGAACCTGGAGGCGGTGGAGACATTGGGCTCCACCTCAGTGATCTGCTCGGACAAGACAGGGACGCTCACTCAGAACCGCATGACTGTGTCCCATCTGTGGTTTGACAACCACATCCACACAGCTGACACCACGGAAGACCAGTCAGGTGTGGGGAAGGGAGGGCACAGGGCAGGATCTGGTGGATGGGGGATGCTGGAGACCTGAAGGGGGCTGGGGAGGTAGGGAGGGCTTTGTATGATGGGGGCGCGACTCGGCTCCAGGTCTCAAAGGAGACTCGCTACTGGGTCTAGAGGGAAGGCTCATCCAGGGGTTGGGTCCCTCAGGGTTGGGTGTACCCCAATCCCACCTAGGTCTGGGGAAGGGTCCCCAGACTTGAGCCTAGGAGGTGGGGTCTTGGTTCTGGTCCGGGAGAGCCGCGGTGCGGGACCCAGCCTGGACGCCTGGTCTGCAGGGCAGACGTTTGACCAGTCCTCGGAGACGTGGCGGGCGCTGTGCCGGGTGCTCACCCTGTGCAACCGCGCCGCCTTCAAGTCCGGCCAGGACGCAGTGCCCGTGCCCAAGGTGAGAGCCGCGGGACCTCCAGGGAATACCGGGAGCCTGGTGCAGCCGGGTTCGCCCCTGACACCGGCCCCCTCTCCCAGCGCATCGTGATCGGAGACGCGTCGGAGACGGCGCTGCTGAAGTTCTCAGAGTTGACGCTGGGCAACGCCATGGGCTACCGCGACCGCTTCCCAAAAGTCTGCGAGATCCCCTTCAACTCCACCAACAAGTTCCAGGTGCGCAGCCGGCCCCGTCCACGGCCTGGTCCCGCCCACCTCGGGCCCCGCCCCAGGCCCCACCCATATCAGGCACCCCCAGTCTCCTTTCCGCAGCCAAACCCCAACCTCATCTCCCGCTTTGCCTACGGCCCCGCCCACCACCCAGCCCCGCCCACAGTCTCTGGGCAAGACTCTGCATGGGGAGCGTCTCGCTCTCGAAATCCTGCCCCAGACCCCAAATCTGTGCCTAGTCCTGCCTTAACGCTCACCCTGTATCTAGTACCCACCCTACAAGGTCCCCATCTTCCACCTTCACCCGTCCCCGCAGCTCTCAGGCCCCAACACCGCGCTCTCGGCCCCGCCTCTGCCCCCGCCCACAGCATCGCCCCTCCACGCCCATAGCTGTCCATCCACACGCTGGAGGACCCGCGGGACCCGCGACACTTGCTGGTGATGAAGGGCGCCCCCGAGCGCGTGCTGGAGCGCTGCAGCTCCATCCTCATCAAGGGCCAGGAGCTGCCTCTGGATGAGCAGTGGCGTGAGGCCTTCCAGACAGCCTACCTCAGCCTGGGAGGCCTGGGCGAACGCGTGCTCGGTGAGACCCCTGGGCAGGGGAGGAGGCTCCAGGTGCGAGGAGGAGCTAGCGCACTTTGCCACCCCTCCCCACACAGCCCTTACGGTCCTCATCACTGGCTGCCGGGTGATCTGTCGCAGTCCACAGCCTCACCCCTGACTTTCCCTGTACCAGTCCCGAACCCTGTCTGTCCTCACCTGGACTTTTCATCCTTATCCTGACGTCTCCCAATTTTTGTCCCGAAACCTTAAATTTCCCTGCCTCTACCCTAGAAAGCAGATCCGTGGTCTAATTCTGGGTCTTTTACTTGCTGTGTGACCTCTGGTAAGAAATGTCCCCTCTCTGAGCCTCAGTTTCCTCATCTGTAGGATGAGGATGGGCCTCACAGGGTGGTTGTGAGGGTACATTCAGATAATGCAAGTGAAGGGGTCAGCACAGGGTCAGGTATCCATAGGTATTTGGCGCAAGGGGCCTGGTTATTTTACTCGTTTCCTGGCCCTGCTAAGGAAGGGTCTGCCTAGGGCTCCTCCCTGACTTCCCTGTTTCTGATCAGGCTTCTGCCAGCTCTACCTGAATGAGAAGGACTACCCGCCTGGCTATGCCTTTGACGTGGAGGCCATGAACTTCCCATCTAGTGGCCTCTGCTTTGCTGGACTTGTATCCATGATTGACCCACCCCGGGCCACCGTCCCCGATGCTGTGCTCAAGTGTCGCACAGCAGGCATCCGGGTATGCCACTGTGGGGAGGAACAGGTGGGGTGAGGACAGAGGATGGCAGCAGCATTTGTGGATGAGGAACCCCATGACAAACCCACCTGAAAGTGGCTTGAACCAAAATACGTTGGTTTATGATACTGAAAAACTCTGGGGACTTAAGCTTCAGGTATAGCTGGATCCAGGAGCTCAGTGTCATTAGGAATTTCTTTCTCCATGTCTCAGCTCTGCTGTTCTCTCTGCTGGCTTTATTTGCAAGCACTCCCTCCACTTGCGGACACACACACCCCTGCTCTAGCAGCTTGAACTTAACTCCCACCTGTTTAGCCACCTCACAGAAAAAAATTATCTTTTGCACTAGTGCCAGATTGGGTCACTCATTCATCTCTAAGCCAGTCACTGTGGCTGGAAGATGGAACAACTTGATTGGCCAGGTCTGGGCTTACTTGCCCAGTCTTAGCCAGGGACCTCACTGCAACTGATGGTCTAGGGGAGAGGAGCGGCTCCCCAAACACAAAACAAAGGTGGGGAAGTCATGGCCAGGCAGGCAATGCCCAAGCCCTTACTCTGTCTCTAAGGCCTTGTTAGATCTGGGCCTTTCTAAGTTTGTTCCTTAGCCCTGTTTCCTTGTTCACTCCTCTGTGGTCATGCTGTCCTCCCTGCTGTTCCTCCAACAGTTCAGGCCTGTCCTCAATTCTGGGCCTTTGCACCTGCTGTTCCCTCTGCCAGGAGCACTCTTCCCCCAGCTTTCCATATGGCCAATTCTCTCACCTCTTTCAAGTATCTGCTCAGATGTCACCTTCTCAATGAGCCCTTCCCTGGGCACACTTAAAATAGAGTCACTATTGCCTCCACCAAGCTTAATATGTGTTTTCTACCTTCTAACATACTATATAATTCATTCTTTATTTTTTGTCACCGCCACTGGAATGCTAGCTCCTCAAGGACAGGGATTTTCATTTCTTTTGTCTCCACTATATCCCAGGCGTGTAGCAGGTGGTCACACTTGGTCAAATAAATGAACATGTGTATCAGCAGATGTCTCCCAGGGAGGATAGGGAGATGGGGCTGATCTGAAGGGGTCAGGGATCTGCTGATTCCCCCTACAGGTGATCATGGTGACAGGTGACCACCCCATCACTGCCAAGGCCATTGCAGCCAGTGTGGGCATCATCTCGGAAGGCAGCGAGACAGTGGAGGACATCGCTGCCCGCCTCCGTGTGCCCGTGGACCAGGTTAATCGCAAGTAAGCCCCCCCAGGCCTCCCTGTGGTTCTCCCCACACATGGCACAGACTGAGGTCCCAGCGAGGTCCTTCCATCTCCTCCCCAGGGACGCCCGTGCCTGCGTGATCAATGGCATGCAGCTGAAGGACATGGACCCGTCGGAGCTGGTTGAGGCCCTGCGCACCCACCCTGAGATGGTGTTTGCACGCACCAGCCCCCAGCAGAAGCTGGTAATCGTGGAGAGCTGCCAGCGGCTGGTAAGCCCTGCCGATGAGGGCGGGCAGGTGGGCAGACAGGCAGGGCTGGTCCTGGGCCGACCTCTCACTGACCACCTGCTCACCCACCTGCACCCACTGCCTGCAGGGTGCCATTGTGGCCGTCACGGGGGATGGTGTGAATGACTCCCCAGCCCTGAAGAAGGCAGACATTGGAGTAGCCATGGGCATCGCTGGCTCGGATGCTGCCAAAAATGCAGCCGACATGATCCTGCTGGATGACAACTTCGCCTCCATTGTGACAGGCGTGGAGCAGGGTCCGTGCCAGGCCAAGGAGGGGGCAGGAGTGTGGGCACAGGAGAGAGAGGGCTGTGAGGAGGCTGAGGTGCCCTCCCTACCCCACAGGCCGACTGATCTTCGACAACCTGAAGAAGTCCATCGCCTACACATTGACCAAGAACATCCCGGAGCTGACGCCCTACCTCATCTACATCACCGTCAGCGTGCCCCTGCCCCTCGGGTGCATCACCATCCTCTTCATCGAACTCTGCACTGACATCGTGAGTCCACAGCCCAGGGCCCCCACCCACAGGTGTCCAGAGACACTTGCTCGCGGATGGACAGGAGGGACAGAGACTGCCACAGGCACTCGGGCACAGAGTGCCAGACGGGACCTGTGTGTTCAATGACAGCCACTGCAGGACACATGGGTGGCAGGCAGGTGGACAGGCCTACATGGACAGACCTACAGCCATGCACACACTCAGGTCGGCCCGGGCAGACCCATGCACACACAGGGACTCAGATACGGGTACTTAGACAGAGATGTAAACAGAACGGGTATCTGACCAGATTTGAATCACAGACACATGACCCTCAACAGACATGGACAAATAAACACCCTTAGATAGACCCCACAAGACACAGACGGAAAAGAGCCACAGATACAGCCATGAAGGCAGCCAGCCCCGCCTCCTGGGTTCAAGCAATTCTCCTGCCTCAGCCTCCTGAGCAGCTGGGATTACAGGCACCCGCCATCAAGCCCGGCTAATTTTTGTACTCATAGTAAAAAACGCAGTTTTGCCATGTTGGCCAGGCTGGTCTTGAACTCCTGACCTCAGGTGATTCTCCTTCCTCGGCCTCCCAAAGTGCTGGGATTACAGGCATGAGCCACCGTGCCTGGCCAAAAAGCAGATGTTTTATGAAGATGGACACCAAGATGCTAACACCCAGGCTGTCCAGGCTGGTGTGGCTGTGCCATCCCTGCAGGTCCTACCTCCTCAGTCCTGTTCCCGCCCACAAGAGGGGGAAGGGGGACCTGGAGTGGAGGGGCCAGGGGCCCAGGCAAACCCTCAGTCCCAGTTCCTTCCACTCCTGGCCAGTTCCCATCTGTGTCCCTGGCATACGAAAAGGCCGAGAGTGACATCATGCACCTGCGTCCACGCAACCCGAAGCGCGACAGATTGGTCAACGAGCCCCTGGCTGCCTACTCCTACTTCCAGATTGGTGGGTGCCCATGGACTGGGGAGCCTGAGGGGCTCTGCGCTGGGCTGCTCGCCTACTCCAGGCCCTGCCTTGGGCTCCGGCTGTTTCTGGACCTCAGTGTCTGCATTTGGTCCTGGGTTTCCATTGCCCTCCGTGTCCCTGTCTGTCTGTGATGGTCTCTCTGGTCCCCCTGTGTCCCTGCTGTCTCTGATCTTGTTCTCCATGACCCTGTCTCTGAGTCATGGCCTATTTGTCATTTTGGGTCCTGGATGTGTCTTTTTCGCTCTGTCCCTGCTTCTGTTTCTGCTGCTCTGTGTCTGTCACTGTTCCTGCGTCCCTGTCTCTCCATGTGCCTTTCTTCCTGTGTCCTTGTCTCTGTGTCCATCTCTGTCTCCCTATGTCCCTGTCTCTGTGTCCACCTCTGTCTCCCTGTGTCCCCTTGCCTCTGTCCAGGTGCCATTCAGTCCTTTGCTGGCTTCACGGACTACTTCACAGCCATGGCCCAGGAAGGCTGGTTCCCACTGCTGTGCGTGGGGCTGCGGCCGCAATGGGAGGACCACCACCTGCAAGACCTGCAGGACAGCTACGGCCAGGAGTGGGTGAGCCCCGCCCTGCCCACCCCATCTCTGGGGTCTCTCCCTCCCAGGGCCACTTGCCTTGTGTGCGGCCCGCTCACTCCTCCACGTGGGACTGGGTTCAGCCAAAGCATCCTGGACACCCAGACTCCCTGCCAGTTCTGGGGGAAAGGGCCTTTCCCACCAACTGCAGCTCCGAACTCTTGCTTCTGATAATCGCAACTGTAGATGGGTGTCCCTGCCCTGACACTAATGCTCATCTCGAAGGTGGAATCGGCCCCTATCCTGCTACTTTTCCCTCTAGTATCACTCCCACAGGGTATTTGCACATGTGGCCCATTTTAATGAAGGTTTGGAGCACAGTGAGGCTAGATCTGGCTAGCAAAGGTGTTTAGTTCATCTGCAGAGTTCCACACAGACCAGGATATTTCCCTTAAGCATTTACTGATGGTTAAAATAGACATTGAAGCCAGACTGCCTGGACTCACGGTCTGGTACTGCTTCTCACAAGCTGTGTAACCCTGGGCAGGTTGCTTTCCCTCTCTGTGTCTGTTTTCTCACCTGCCAAGTGGAGAGAATACCAGTGTCTACCTCAGTGGTTTTCAGTTTGTTTCCAGACCAGCCACATCAGCATCACCTGGGAACTTGTTTGAAAGGCAAAATTCTCAGGCCCGATCCCAGCCCTCTGGGAGCGCTTGCTGGGATTCTCTTGCATGTTCAAGTTCCAGCACCACCGATTTACCTCCTAGGGTTATCTGGAGGATTAAATGAGCTAATGCACGTGCAACACTGGGTACCTGGAGCAGTTGGCGAACCCTGCAGTTAGCTGGTATTAGAAGGGGTTGTATTGCCACGCATGGTGGCACATGCCTGTAATTCCAGCTACTTGGGAGGCTAAGGCAGGAGAATCCCCGAGCCCGAGATGTGGAGGTTGCAGTGAGCTGAGGTTGTGCCACTGCACTCCAGCCTGGGTGACAGAGCGAGACTCCATCTCAAAAAAAAAAAAGTAGCTGGGTTGAAGAAATGGACTGCATAGTGGCTGCCCCCTTCAAATGGGGCATGTACCCTCTGTTCCCCCAAGGCCCTCCGTGCCTTCCTCACTTATTTTTGCCATCCACCTGGCCCCTGGAGTCACTGGACTTTGCAAATCCCATCTCAGGATTTCAATTCCCCTTTCCCAGGCCCTTCCTATTGGGTGCCTCCCCACTTTCACTATGAGGGCAGTCGGGCCCAGCCTACTGTTTTCCCAGCCCTGTCATCCAAGCTCTGCAAGGCTGAGGTTTCCTGGCCCCACAAGTCTGGGGTCCTGTAAACCTGGCAGCCCCTGCCTCTCTCCTTGCCCCCACCCATGAAACTCTGATGCAAGGCAGAGAGTATTGAGGGGTTCGCAGCCCCCGGACCCTATGCCCCAGGGGCTGCAGAGGCTGTCCACAGGCACTCAGGCTGCTTCCGTTTGTCCCTGGCCTGCAGACGTTCGGGCAGCGCCTGTACCAGCAATACACCTGCTACACTGTGTTCTTCATCAGCATCGAGGTGTGCCAGATTGCCGACGTGCTCATTCGCAAGACGCGCCGCCTCTCTGCCTTCCAACAGGGCTTCTTCAGGTGTCCCTGGCTGGCCCCCTCCTGCCCTCCAGTCCCTGGTCCCAACTCCCATCAGATTCTGACCATGGTTTGGAACAGCTGGCAAACACCAGTGGGTGCTGATGCCAGATGCTGACACGCCCTAACACTTTTCTAACTGACCAATAGTTCCCCCGCGGCCCCTCCACACTTCACTGAAGGGGTGGTGCTGAGAGACCCGGGCCACTCCATGTTCAGTGTGTAGAACACCTCCCTGCTGCTGCTGACATCAGACCTACTTTGACCCACAGTATCCTAATTTCCGTCAGGTTCCCAGTTCCTAACGGCCTGTCCCATCCTGCCGCCCCGCCCCGCAGGAATAAGATCCTGGTGATCGCCATCGTGTTCCAGGTCTGCATCGGCTGCTTCCTGTGCTACTGCCCCGGCATGCCCAACATCTTCAACTTCATGCCCATTCGGTGAGAGGCTGTGAGCGGCGAGCAGAGGGAGGGGGCTGCAGGACACAGGCCTGGGATGGCCTTCACCTTGCCATGTGCCTTCAGGTTCCAGTGGTGGCTGGTCCCCCTGCCCTACGGCATCCTCATCTTCGTCTATGACGAGATCCGGAAGCTTGGAGTTCGCTGTTGCCCAGGCAGTGAGTGTGGAGACTGGGGGTCTGGGGACAGGGCACTGAAATGTTTCGAGCAGCTGCACCCACCTTTGATCCTCAACACGTGGCCTCCAAGCCCTTGACCCTCCATAGCAACCACCACTGATCCATGACCCCTGAGTCCCTGGCTCTGCCTAAGTGGCACCCCCAGCACTGAGTCTCCTTGTTCCCTCTCTCTCCAAGGCTGGTGGGACCAGGAACTCTACTATTAGAGGGACGACTGCCTTCAAGCATCCCTGTAACTGCCACGGCAGGTGGGGGCAGGGCTCCTGGGACCCTCTGGACAGCCACCAAGACATCTGAGCTACTAAGAGTCCCAGCCCCACCAGTATCTGCTTCTGCAGTCCACGGCACCCCAACCTTGGAAGGACCCTGCCCACTCCCCTTCCCCATCCCCAAGGTTTGCACCTCCTGGAACAGCAGTACCTGGGCACAGTCCTCTGAGCTGGCCTCAGGAAAGCCCCCACCTGCGGCGGCGCTGGGGCTCTGACAGGGAGTACAGCTGGCCACTCCTGGAGGGTTTCTGTCCTTAGGACTCCAGTCCAGGCAGGAGGGCTGCCCAGGGGCCCTTCGTTAAAGACACGCTTGTGTCCTGAGACGGTAATAAAACCAGCTCATGCTGACTGTGCGGTATCCGGTGCCAGGCAGTGTCCTCAGCGCCTCTTGTTAGTGACTGTGATCTCCCACAGTCCTACACATGGGGGCTGTTTATTCAGGGCTGTACCTCCAGTGCCTAGAACACAGCCTGGCACATAGTAGGTGCTCAATAAACCTGCCTTGGGGGAAATGATTCCTATTTCTTTGCCCAGGGTCACGGCATCTAAAGGTACGCTGGGCCATGACCACAGGCACCCCACCACCTCTGGGCTTTCTCTATTCTCAGCACTCTTCTCCCTCCTGGGGGCTCCCAGACACAAGGGGCCCAAGTCATTTGCACATCAAGCATCCCCCACCCCCCACAGGTGTCTCCCCTCTGAGCCTACCTGCTTGTTCCTCTGTCCCAGCAGTGGCCAGTTCATGACCAACTCCTTGAGGTGCCCTCTTCACACCCTTCACCTGAAAGGTTAACCCCTCTGACTGCTGGAGACACCCTCCTCCCCATCCCCCCACCTCCCACCTCTACCGCTCCTTTCCCAGTCCCCTTTGTTCACCTCTCTTCCTTTCTTTTCTTTCTTTTTTTTTTTTAGAGATGGGGTTTCACCATGTTGGCCAGTCTGGTCTTGAACTCCTGACCTTGTGATCCACCCATCTCAGCCTCCCAAAGTGCTGGGATTACACGCATGAGCCACCGCGTCCAGCCTCTTTCTCTTTCTTATGGCTTTCTCCGGCTAGGGCCTGGGCTTCTCCTTACTTGTGATCACAGCCCCCCAGCCCCCTGTGGCTTCAGATATCTCTGCAGTGAGACCAGTATCCGAGGTGACCTACACTGGCCTCTGCATCTTCCCCCAAACCTGTACCCATGCACTGACCAAATCTGATAGTCCCACTGTCCCATCAGTGTGGTCCCTTCTCCCTTGGAAACATAGTGAGCCCTGGGGCTTACAAACCCCAAACTCCTGTTATCCGGGAACTCCTTGCTCCTCCCTTATCTGCTGTCGCCCCAGAGCGCCCCCTGCTGGTAAATAAATACACACAGTCCACTGATCAACTGATCACCAACACCCCGGCTTAGCTTCTAGCCATTCCCCCCACTCCACCAGCCCTGCTCCGGTCCAGCCCTGGCCTCCTGGTCTCAGCCTCCCCACTCCAGCCAACAGCCATGCAGAGCTCCCTAAAGCCGTATCTGACCCTGTCCTTCCTCTGCCTAGAGCTCTCCATGGTTCCCAAAGCCTTCTGTGATCTGACCCCCACCAGCTCCTGTAGTCTCACAAGCCCCCTTGAACTCATTCCAACCAGTTATGTTCCCTTGGGGAAAACAGGCGTCCCCCCCCCGACCTCAAGACCATTACCTCTGCCTTGCCCCAGTCACTCATTCTTTAGGTCTCAGCTCACATGTGCTCTGCTCAGGGGAGCCCACACTGCTTCCACAGCAGGTCAGGTGGCTCCTGTGGCTCCCCATAACCCGGGTGTTTCCCCATCATAACTCCAATCACCTGCAGCCTGGCTCACCACAGTCCTGCCGCCTAGGCTTCACTGTCCTCTGCCAACTCAGCCCTAACCACTCCAGTCTCTCTCCCTGAACCCCATGTAAGCGGGGATTATTCCAGTTGGTAATTTCTGCAACTGACACTTGTCTCAATGTGTAAAGAGGTATGTGGGGCATGGAAGTGCAGAAGAAAGTGACCCTGTCACAAGTCCACCTAGATAGACTGCCCCATCTACTTCCTTTCCACATCAACATCAAGTCGATCAATCATTTCCAGCTCCCAAGAGACTCCTGGACCCTGTCTTTATTCCGAACCATGAGGAAGAGTGGGCCCAGATGGCGGCTGCCCTGCCTCAGGGCAAATGCTCCCTCTGGAAACACCGAGAAGGTCATAGCGAGCTTTCCTAGGCGCAAGCTTAAATAATATCATGTGGAACCTCAATAGCCTGGTGGAGAAGGATGGGCAACTGCCCTATCCTGCTCCCCAGGGCACCCCACTGAAACACCAGGGCTGGGGAGCACCTTCCTGAGTGGGTGGGTGTGCATCGAAGTGGAGCTTAAACATGACATTCAAAGCTTCTGACACATCCCCTCAGAGAGAGGTGGGGAATGGGGCAGGGAGCTGGCTTTAGTGGACCAAGGAAGGCTGAGGGCATGGGGGCAGGAAGGGGGGCACCCAGGACAATGTCCAAGCTGGGGCCCCACTGCTCTGCTCCTTGGCTGCAGCTGTCTTTCTACTCTACCCTGAGAAGGCTCAGGCCAGGATCTGATCTGCGGGCCATAGAACTGAGGGGCTCAGAGTCACAACTCTCCCCCCAGCCCCATGCTGACCCCATGGCTTGAACAATGTGAAGAATCTGGCTGGGCAAATCATTCCAGGAAGCAGTTTCAGAAAAGCTGGTTTTGCTGGCTGGGTAAATCCAAAGGCCAAGCAACTAAACCGTCCATTGTGTAACAAGGGGCCACAAGTGGGAGGATGACAAGGTTAGATTTCAGATAGATCCCCTGGCTGCCATACACAGGACAGATTGGAAGGGGACACTGGGGCCAGGTGCCTCAGAAGTAACCAGCCCAGGAAGGGCACATGTGGGGAGGCCCAGGTTGAGGCTATAAGGAGAGGAAGAGCCCCCCAAGGGCCCTCTCTGGAGTCTAGCTCCCCGTTATCACCTGTTCCCTGAGGGCCCTGGCCTCTGCCACTGCTCAGAGATCATCCTAACCTTCTGTCTACCCCCAGAAAACAAGGAGCCTGTGGAACTGCTCCACGACATGACACAAGTCAGTGACTGGCTAGCTTCCAGCTTGTCTACCTCCCTCCTGAGCCAGAACCAGGGCCTCTGGGACCCAGGTGGGCATGGTATTGGGAGACAGTTCCCAACAGAGAGAAATGGCGGCAGCAGCAGCTTTCCAAATACTGTTTACTTCACTAAAACCTGGAGCAAGGCAGGGAAAAGGTATGCTAATGTCTGAGACACCAAGCCTAGGAGTGCACGTTGACAACGGCGACATAGAGGGCCAAGGTGCTGAGGGCCAGCAGCCCCGTTACCACTGCCCGGGCCAGCAGGGCTGTCCAGCTGCCCAGCGAGCAGAGGTGGACAAAGGTCCTGCGGGAAAATGTCACAATGAGGGAGGGAGAATAGAATAGATAACCCATCCCCCTCTGGACCCAGCCACAAACCCCACCCAGCTCACTCCATAACAAAGGCCTTGTAGACACTAAGGAACATCAGCAGGAGGACAGCCGGCCGGAAGGTGTGGTACAGATCATAGCGTGTTATCATCCAGACCTGGGCAGACGCGACGATGTAATGGACCTAGAGGGAGGTAGAAAGTCGGGGCCAGGCCTCGGGGAGGACTATGGCCACCAGCAGAAACGTGTGTAGGTGAGAGCAGGTCCGCGTACCAGACTGATGTTGGAGTCTATGCTCATCTGGATGTACTTCCAGTCAAACTCAATGCCCCGGGCTCCGACCCATAAGGGAATGCAGCTGAGGAAGGCAAAGGATAGGATTCTCTAGTACCCAGACACCCTCAGCACCAGGCTCTGAGCCCCCGCCATCCAGCACCCCCATGGAACCCAGGTGTCCCTTCTCAGGGGTCTGGACTCCAGGCTGCTGCACGCACCGGGACATAATAAGCTCGGCGGTGGCCCAGCCTAGGGCAGCAACCATGATCTTGTACTCCCCCTTGCCGGCATTCCGGGACATGACAAGGTTTAGGCCTATCAGGTCGGCCACATCCACGCTGGCCTTCATGAACTCCTGAGGGTCAGGTTGAAGCTTAAGTAAGCAAAGGGGACAGGGAGCCCCACTCCTGCACTCCCTCCCCTTCCCCGGCCCCTCTCACCCCAATGAAGTCATAGATGCCGCCTTCCCAGGTGGGAAAGAAGGTGGCCAAGAACAGCATCTGAGAACAGAAAGCAGAAAGAGGTCACTTCAAGGTGAGGGGATCACAATCAGCCACAAGGGTTTTGTGGGAAGTTCGTTTGTATAAGGAGGGCAGGACAGGTTCCGGGAGCCCATCTGGAAGAGGAACCACCAGATGATGGCAAGATTACAGGCATGGGAGAGATAGAGGATAGGTCCCCGGGTCCTTGAGGGGGTTGGAAGTTTAAGTTCTCGATGATCACAGGGCATCTGAGTCAGGTCTGAACGTGCTGCTCCTTGGGCAGTGCTAGCAGCACGTGGGGAATCAGCGAACACTCTTAACTGCATCAAAAAAACCTCTTAGCCAAGCACACTACTGAGGTTTTCTTAATTTTACTAAGTGCTACGCAAAAGTTGCTTCTAGGCTTCTTTTCAGGTCGTGCCCTCTTTAAAGTCCATCCTCTCTAGGTATCCCGACACCATCCCATTGCGGAGTCCCGAGGGCGGTCCCACCATCGGGGATACGCAACGGGGGCGGGTCCCTAGGTCTGCAGAGCCTAGTGGCCAGACACGCGGGGTCTCGACGGTCCTCACCTTGCAGAGCTGCACAAAGAGGTAGGTGACTCCAGCCTGGACGCATTTCCAGAAGGCGTTGTACTCTGACCTGGAGAAGCGGGCGGTGAGGGTCGGCCCGGGCCCCGCACCCTCTCCGCCCCGCGCCCTTCCCGCACTCACAGGCCGCTGCACTTGTAGGTGATGAAGTAAGGGAAGTAGGCGAGAGCGAAGCAGTTCCCGAAGTGAAACAGGGTCATGACGCCAGCCGCCCGGTCCCGCCCGCGCGGGGATAGCGAGGCGGCGTCTCCCGGAGCGGGTCTCCGGCTCCGCCGTTGCTTCCGCCGCGGCCAGGGCCTGGAGCCCACCTGACTGGCCGCGACCCGCGCGCGGCCTTCTGGGAGCCGTAGTCCCGGCGCGGGACGTCGCGCCCAGTGACGTCAGAGCGCCCGTGGCCGGCCCTGGTTCAAAGGGCTTCTGGCCCAGCGCTGTGGGGAGCGACTTTCGGCCATGCGGGGTTTCCCCTGCTGCCACCGCCGTCCCAGTCTCCCGAAGTGGAACCCGGCTTGGAGTCGAGCGCGACCCCTCACCCGTGGGCGCAGGCGATCGAATAAGTGTGGGGCGGGCCTTAAACCCGAATCAGAACCCGCC